AATAGCTTACCACTTTTTGTCTGTGGGGAAAGGGGCTGTAGGTTGGAAAATGAAACTCAGTCTGAAACAAAGTCCAATGAAATAGATATTGGAAGAGTTTTTTTTTTTTTTTCCATGAATCAGTTTTAGGTTAGAACAACAATACTAGTGGTAAATTTATGCAAGTTTTAGTGGCTGTTTGCATTTGTGTCTTGGGAGAGTGCAGTTGATGAAATAGATATTTTATTATTTACACATTTCACATGTGGTGTACTTGATGAAGGCTAGAGGGCACATTGATAGCAACAACAAAGAGAAGGATTATAGCCCATATGTAAATAGCGTAAATAATGATAACTCCTCATCCCAGAAATTCAAACAGAAAAAAATTTAGTTTTCAGACGACTCAGACAGCACCTTTCATACTGGCCAGCATTTTCCAATATATATATTTGCTGGGACCATTCCCCACCCCTTCACTAATGTGATTTATTCAGCCTCCCATGAGGTTGAATTTATTGTGAATGATTACAAAAACAAGTGGCTAGATACTCAGCAGGTTTAAAAACAACACATATCAAAGGGTAAACAAATTTTCTTGCAGCCACCTTGCACATCAGTGTAGACTGGGTTCCTGTAGTAGCCAGTTTGATAATGACACTATATTGTTAGGTGAAGGGCTTCTTAGGTTGAATACAATTAGGCAATAGGTAATGAGTCAAGTCTTGTAGGCTGACAGAATTCTCTCCTTACCACATTACACCATAATAGTCTCTGCAAGACCATCATGCAAGGCACTGTTGAAGGAGGATGTCAATGCAAAAAGCTGGTCAGACAACACCAAAGAATGGATGGCCATGAAAATGTCGACACCCTGAAAGCCACTATCAACACATCATGCTGGAGGATGTTTGTTCTGCTCTTAGGCTCCTCCAACAAATCCAGCATCATGGGACGGATGATAAATGTGTTTTTGCAGTAGTGACACAATGTATGTGGAAAAGCGGGTCATCTCTGCTGGTTCAGATCCTTAATCCTTTCCATGTCCAGGGCATTTTCATATGCACTATCCAAATGTTCATGTATATTTTCAGATTTATAACTATTCCAAGGCAACTCAGCTTATTTGGCAAACAGAATATGCTGATGTATATAGTGTTTCACATAATAAAAACCTGTGCATCACGTGATGCATAGAACGTACAAATCATAAGTTATTTACACTATGCTCTGTGTATCACATGCGATTCAAAGGTTATAATCATTTCAATAAAGTTGAAAATAGATATCTTTCATTTGAGACCTTACATTATTAGTCAATTGTCTTGTGGTCATAAGATGCTTAAAATATTAGATCAGGCCTTTCCTCGGGCATCCTGCTCAATAGTAGACTCTTTTCTTAAGCATCCTTTGTTTTACCACTCTTAAAATCATGCCTCGTGTGCACCATATATGAAGCCTGGACATGAAAATCACATGCCCTGTGCATCACATATGATGTGCAGAACAGGCAAAGTGTTAAATGTGTTGCAAATGGGCACTTATTCATTATTGCTGAAAATGCATAGCCTGTTATGGTGACTAGAAGCAGGGAGGGAGTGTTTTGTAGTTGAAAAATTGCTCTGTCCAACAGAATTACTCTAGTATCTCACATGGAAATAAATTGGGGGCATTACATTCAGAGCAGCCCTTTTGTTTGCTATTGTTGCCAATATCAGGTTTTGTCATCTCATGGGATGCTCATAAATTTAAGCAGGCTTTCATCATATAGATAAAGAGGGCTAAAATATAGTGGTGTGTGTGTGTTACAAAGCACTTGTTCTTATCTGTTGTCATCATTAATTCCATGACTGGTTGTGGTTGTAGGGACACTGCACAGCTGGACACCTGAGGTATTCTTTCATGTATTGCATGTTTAGAGCCAGTAGACCTGGCGGATCCCATCCCTCTCCAGGTCAAACCACAACTGATGTCTTTCAATCTGAAGGTTTGCCTTTTTTATGGACATGTGACTGCCAATTCCATGGAAGGAACCCTAAACTCTGGCCATTGATTTCAGTCTAGGAATCCATCTACCCAGTAATGCCATTTCAACATTACACTGGTTGTATTGTTCAGTCTACCCCATTGTGCTAGATGGCAGTTGACCCTGCAAGAAAGTTTATCTGTGTGGCAGACATGAGACAGAACCTGGGACGAGCACAACTGGCTGCGACTTGCCTTGTCCCCACCAAAAAAGAGCCTGTATTTGCTTAGCATGTAAAGCTACTGCAGTTGAAATGAGGGAGAAAAAAGCACTTACCGCTCTGCCGTAATCCGTCCTCGGCCAGATAACATAAAAGAATGAGGGGGGACTTGCATTGCATTTTTATGCAATAAAGATGCAATGCATTATGGGACATGGACTCAATGAACTATGGGATCACATGAAGACGCAAGGGATTATGGGTATATGGACAAATATAAAAGCAACTACTTTTTTCCCAGTGGGGCAGTTCTTCGAGTGACGTTCACGGTTGGCGGCAAGAACAGTCTGTTAGTGTGATTCTGAGACAGAACTCAAGAAGGAACGACTCAAGGTTGAAATACCAGCTGGGAGAGCTTGAATTTACTCGCTGGTTGCTGTTTTTTTTATTCGCCTCAATCTGCCATCTGATAAGTTTTGTTTTTAAAGCTGCTGGTTTTATTTTAAAGCTTCCTTTCCAGAAAAGCCTGGTGGGGGAACCGGTTCAGTCATGGGTAGCCTGACAATGTGGCAGGTAGTATTGGATTACATGATACCAGTTACACTTGTAGAGTGACTTGACATAAAGTCTTTTATGCATATCAAAATATTTGTACATTTTATGTTCCAGAATATTTTCCACTGTCACAATTGCCAGAACTGGTTTTTATGTTGCAAGTAAATATCGATAAAAAGGAAATAATTTACACTACAGTTGAATTAGCAAGATATAACCATAAGTTCTATGTCAACAGTTTATTTTCTGACACTTCTCACTTGTGGAACGCTTGTCTTGTTCCACTCTTTCCAGTTAATTTTGCTCTTCAAAAATTTAAATGCAATATCAATCGTTATCTACTGTCTTCTTAATTACTCTTCTTCTGTTGTTCTCACTCCTTAATAATGTTTCTCTTTTCTAATTCTTACATGCCCAGTAACCCTTGTGTCTTAGTGGCTTTACTGCCTTGCTTGGGGTAAATCAGATTTAAAAACACACACACACATACATACATATATATATATATATATATATATATATATATATGCATCTGGAGAAAGAGAAATTAAAAAAAATCAATGTAGCTACTCTAGGAACATAAAAAGAATAAAAACAGATTATCATTATTTAATAGTTTATTATTTTTTTTTTATAATAATAAATGAAAACAAAAATAGAAAATAGTCTCATATTTCAATTTCAATAATGAAAGTAGCTGCTGGTATTTTGTAATTCTTGATAAAATACAAAGAGAATCAGCAATATTATTGGTCTTGACCTGGCATCTTGGCTCCAGTTACTTACCCACTGCCATAAAGTTGCTTCCCTGTGCCTTTTCTATAATACTTTTATGGTAATTGTTCAGATGAGCTCTTCACTATGGTACCTAGACTTTTGGAACTTAAGTGCAGTCCTAGATTGGTAACATGGTCTCATCAATTTATACTTGAATTGGCTTTGATGTAACACTAAGTTCTATGCTAAAAGTTTCTCATCTCACATCTGTCACTTGTGTAACACTCTTCCGGCTCCATGCTTTCTAGCCAACTTTGCTCTTCAAAAATTTAAATGCAATGTCAATCATTATCTACTGCCTTCTTGATTACTCTTCTTCTATTGTTCTCATTCCTTAATAATGTTTCTGTTTTCTAATTCTTTCATGCCAGTAACACATTGTGTCTTAGTGGATTTACTGCCTTGCTTGGGGTAAATCAGATTAATTGAAACGAATTACTTTTTTTTTTAATTTAATTGGGACACAAGACCACATTATTAGAGTTCTTGGAAACTAACTTTCAAAGGCTTTATTGCCAATAAATAGCTTTCATTTTCATGAGAAAAACTAATCTAGAAAATCAGCCTTCACAATCGTGATTATTAATATTGCTTGTGCACTGTCAAATATGGAACTATTTTGACAAAAAATACGATAAATTAAGGAGGAAACATTTTTATGCCCCAGAAATGCTGCTTGACAACAAAGAAAAGATAATTTATCATGAACACTTGATTACCTCCCTTGAATAAGAATCCACATCTTTGCAATGTAAGGGAGATAACTTGATTGTAACACTTGTAAAAAGGATTCAATTCATTTTTACTTCCATTTTATTTTAGATTATTCAACTTAATTTTTTGACTCCCTGTACGTTTTTTTTTTTTTTATGCGAGGGAAGCTCAGATTTATTATATAGTTGCAAATGGTTTGAAATGTAATTATAGTGATTGAATATTTAAACCGGTAAATTTTGTTTGAGTTTGCATTTAAAAAGGGATAATTAATTTGCTTTTTAAGCCCCGCACTAAATAAATAATAATTTTCTGAATAATTATATTTAGGTGTAAGATTACATGCTTAATTCGAAAATAACAAAGAAATTTTGATAAAATCTACCGTTTTGGAGTTATCGACAATAGAAGTTCGAACTCATTCGCGTTATGTCACGGTAGCCATTACTGGCGTTGTTTGCATACATTCGCTGGTGATTAGATTTGCGCGGAAGATTACATTGTTAACGGCCTTTTTACGGTTCTTACTTGATTCAATTACTACGCAAATGAGAATTATTGCGTGCGTAATAATCAAGACTGTTCCGCAGCAAATACATGCAAACAACGCAGTAATAGCTGCCGCGACGCGAATGAGACCGAACTTCCATTGTCGATAACTACAAAACGGTAGATTTTATCAAAATTTTTGTTATTTTCGAATTACGCATATACATTTACTCCTAAATATAACTATTTGGCAAATTTTTATTACATATTTAGCGCAGGGCTTAAAAAGCAAATTGCCTGTTAAAGGTCAACTTCTGAAGGCATTGGTTTCCCTTCAAGAGCACATTCGAGATTTTGGGCCACGAGGTCAATCATTTTGTATCTAGTTTCAAACGTGTTAGTGCCACAATGTGGAGTGATGATGACATTTGGCAGGGAGAGGAGTGGGTGATTCCGTGGAAGTGGTTCTGGAAATGTTACATCGAGGGCTGCTGCTGCTATTTCTTCAGTGGTCAGCGCTTTTACCAAAGCGTCATGATCAACGATTTTACCTGCAACAAACATTACAGCAATTCATATTTTAAAAAAACTCACATATAGATAATACACCGTGTGTGTTCGTAATATAAGGTGTTATAGAAATACCGCCCACATTTGAGATTTGAGTTTTATTTTGTGGGAGATATTTCCGCTGCACCCTGTGTGTATGTATACACACACACACATACACCGGGTGTAATAGTAAAATTGTTCAAATCGTATAACAGCATGGGATAATTGTCCATCCTGCAAAATGAGTAAGGCCTAAAAAAAACAAAAACAATACAAAAACAAAAAAACACTAAACTAATTGATTTCTTTTTCCAGGTTTTCAAACATTTAGCCATCTTGACACCAAGAGAAAGGTGAATAAGTTTAAAAATGATAGAACAGTAGAAAGGAAAATTGGATCAGGAGGTCACAACAGGAAGAGGGATCATCATTTCATCTTAGAGCTAAATACATTCTTATTGTTTGAAGTATAGCCCAGTAGTGTTATAAAAACATCGAAGGATTCCAGTAAGATATCTTTAATCATTTCTAATGTACAACGGTTCAAAGCTTAATCGAACAATTGGACAATTTTGCAGTTACTACCGGAATATATATATATATATATATATATATATATATATATATATATATAAATGTTTAACCTTTGTGCCCGCAAAAAAAAAAAAAAATTCTGTGTAAAAATGATGGTTTGATTTGGTTTATTTTGTTTTACGGCATATCAACCTCATTGGGTTATTTTTTTTTCATCTTAACAATTTACATTATTCGAACTATTATGTTCATCTTCATTGCCATATTCACAACGTTTCGGCCGTTGTACACTCTGGCCTTCTTCAGTTGATTGGAATTTCGAACGAACCCTTTATTTCGTTCACCGGGATAGATTGTTCTAGTTCCACGTTCCATGCCTCTTCCGGATGCTCAGTTATTTCCCATTAACTCAACACTCCAAGTCTTGGTTCATCACTACTGTGGCCTGCTATTGAACTCACAACTCTTTGGGTCTAGTCATATGATCTAACCAACGTCTTTATCCACTGGGCTATGTGTCCTTGAGAATAGAAGAAGGCCGGAGCGTACAAGATGAGGATAACAGTCCGAATAATGTAAATAATGTAAGTAATCATAATACCTCATCTCAGAGATACAGAAAGATATTAAAAAAAAAACAACTACAAACAATAAACTTTAACACTTGTACGTGCTGAGAAAAATTTAGTTGCAAAAACGCGAAAATAATAATATTCTATATTTTCATATTTAAAAACCTTTCTCGCCTCTTTCTTTGTTGTGGGTTGATTCAAATCCGCAACAAATATTGATTAAGAAAACAAATGGAAATAAATTGGTCAACAAATGATTTCTTACCTCTTCCAATGTTGATTAGATATGATGTATTTTTCATGGCTTTAAATTCTGGCCAGCCAATCATATTTGTTGTTTCATTAGTAGCAGGACAAGCGATAACTAAATAATCACATTCAGGCAACATGTCTTTCAGCCGAGCAAAGTATTTGGCTTGGATCAAATTCTCATCCTCGCTGCTCCTAAGAAAGACCAGAAAAAAAAATCATCATCATAAAGTTAAGCATTATTAAGTTTTGGACTAATATTTATTTCATCTTAATTTCACTTACTTTTTATCGCGTATCACAATTTCTCAAACTGTCATTCCTTTTATACTGATTTCTACAATGCCACCTTGCGGACATTAGGAAAAGTCCTCTGGCAGATTAGGGCAATGTTAAGAAAAAAAAAAAAAAAAAAAGGCAGTATTTACATTAGTCGGACTATTGTCCTCATCTTTGTCGCCATATTTGTCACAACGTTTCGGCCGTTGTACGCTCCGGCCTTCTTCAGGTGGTTGGAATTTCGAACTGAACCCTTTATTTCGATCACTGGGGTAGACTGTTCTTTAGTTCCACGTGCCATGTTTTTATGGATGTCAGTTATCAGTTATGGCGACAAAGATGAGGACAATAGTCCGACTAATGTAAATACTGTACATAATACCTCATCTCAGAAATATAGACAGACCCCCCCAGCCAAAAAAAGAGTTGTTTATTATTTTTACTAATGTTCACCCAATACAAGGGCCACTCAAGATAGAGGCTTACTGTGTTGTGTTAGTGTAAGAAAAGTCAAGAAGTAAAGTTCTTGGGGCTATACAGGAAAGATAGCAGCTAAATCTAGACTTGAAGAGGTCACAATTTAATTAGTGAATAACATTTCAGAGACATTAGAAGTATAGTGTGCAAGTAAACTTTAGAAGGAACCGGAAACCCTATCCAAACAGGAAACAAGGTCTAAACCTCAATTGCGGTTCAAAAGACCGAGAAGGAGTGTGAGTCGGACGATAGGCGAACCTATCTATTCTTACTGGGAGAGGAAAAACATAATTGGGGAAAAACTTTTCAGAGTTCAGTCGGAGATGGTAGAAGTATAGTGTAGAACTATAACTTTAGAAGGAACCGGAAACCCCAATCCTATATGGGAAACAAGGAATAAATCTGTTAAGAAAAAAAAACTGTGGAAAAACCGGTCGATAGGCAAACCTATCTAATCCTATTGAGAGAGAAGAAAAAATAATTGGTCGCAGATATAAGGAGTATAGAGAGTTGAAGTAAACTTTAGAATGAACCAAAAACCCAATCCTAAACAAGAAAAAAGGATAAATATCTACTCCTATTAAAAAAGAACTGGGGAGGAGTATGAACCGGGATTTTCAGTTGATACTGTCATTTCTTTTCCTTTTTAAGAAACTTATCGGCGATCTCATAACAAATGTATGTTTTTTAATCATTTCCCTTAAGCAAGGCTATAAAGCCACTAAGATACAAGGGGGCTACTGATTATGAAAGAAAATGTTACTGAAGAGAAAAGGGAAGTAAAAGAACAGGATTCAAAAAAGACGGCGATTAACCTTGCATTTAAATTTTTCAAGATCGTAGTTGTTCTACAGAAGGATACTGGGAATACCATGGAGTGAACATGTGAGCAACAACGAAGTTTTAGAGAAAATAGAAACAAAATGGATACTTATACATAGCAACCGAAATAGACAGTTGAAATTTCCAGGGGAAAGAATGAGGAAATAAGGCTTGGAAAATCTGACACTCACGGGACATATTGAAGGCAAGCGCATAACGTACCTAACGAGCTTTTGTAAATGAATGGCAGAAAAGGGTTTAGGAGAGATAACAAAAAGACGAAATTTACTAAGAGTTACAAAGGAAAGGAAATTGTGGAGAGTCATGATCGCCCATGTTCTGAAGAGACATGGCACATAAATGATTTGCTAGCTCTGTGTTCATTTTAAGCCTGCCAGCAAGAGAGGCATTCTATAAGGGAATAAATCACACAATAAATTCAGCCACACACACAGAGAAAAAGAAAAAATTTACTAAGCACTACGAAGTACAGGAAATTGTGGAGAGTCATGATCGTCAACGACCTAAAGGGACACGGCATATACAAGTAGTTGACGGGAAAGCAAGAAACTGGAATAAAGTTCAACAGACGGGTAATTTGGAAGAAACTATTAGAATCGGACTTAGGTTACATATAACAATTTCAAGAGATAAATAGCGAGACCTAACTGACAATCCAGTACTGATTAAAATCTTTATAATTCATAATTTCCCATAGACACCAGTAGCTTGTTTATTTTAAGACATATCCACCATTAGTTGGTTGCTTTATTTTTTCCTGTCCTGGGTATGACGATAAACTACGTCCAACAGCAAGGCTTCTGATCAGAAGGCTTTGAAGGATGTGGAACCTCCTCTTAATTGCTGGTGTTCCCAGGTCCACCCTGATCAGGGGTGGTAGCACCTGTTAGGGTCCCAGCTATGGGAAAATAGTTAACTCCGAAACTGAAGTAAAAAGCATTATAAAAGTGTAAAAATAGGTTTTAATACCAGAAATACTTTGTAAAAAATTATTACCAGAAATAAATTTTTGAAGAAAAAAAAATATTACCAGTAATACGTTTGTGAAAAAATAATATTACCAGCTGTACATTTTTGAGGAAAAAAATATTACCAGAAATAGATTTTTGAAAAAACAAAAATATTACCAGATGGTCTGGAGCCCCTTCTGTTTGCCTCGGGGTTCTTGATAAGATCCAGAGACGGATATGCAATGTAATTGGCCCTGATCTGGCATCTCATCTACACTCGCTCTCTCACAGACGTGCCGTCGCCTCTCTCTGTCTTTTCTACAAATACTTTCATGGTAATTGCTCCGATGAGCTGCGAGACTGGCATCCCGCTCTCACCCTTTCAGTGTCGAAACTACTAAATGTAGCCGTCTCTTCTACTCCAATAGCTTCATGTCTCGCACCTCTCGCCTGTGGAACTCCCTTCCCTACTCCTGTTTCCCTGATAGCTTTAATCAACTATTTAAATGTAATTTAAATCGACATCTCCGGTTGCCTTGCTCTATCCACTATCCTTCTTCCCATCCTTTCCTCTATCACTCCTATCTGATCTTGCTCCAAATCTTCTGTAACCCCTTGCGTACTAGTGGCTTCCCGCCTTGCTTGGGGTGAAATGCTTAAAAAAAAGAAAAAAAAAGATTTTTTGGCAAAACAAAAATATTACCAGAAAAAAATGTTGTCGGCATTAAATGACCCATTGAGGTTGATATGCCGTAAAACAAAATAAACCAAACCAAAGTTTATGTTTTCCATGAGGAGGATCGCATTGTATGTCTTTGTGAATAGTTTCCTGCTTGTTGTCTTAAAAGCCGTAAATTTCTCTCTACAACAGTAGTTGTTACTTTTATAGCGATTAGTATTTTGGTGGTATGTCGATAGCATTTGATTGATTTTTTTTTTTTTAGGAAATGAGAAAGAAAAGTGTTTTGTTTACCTTCTGTTACGATTATGGTAAAGAACAGTCATGTTGAATGCCTTGGCTCGGATAGCAATCTTTAAACCAATATTTCCCATTCCTAAAATTCCAATGGTGGCATCGGTCAGACAGTGGCCCGTGTATTCAGGGGGTGAAAGATATGGCATGTCATTTCCCATTGTATAACGAACGCCTGTAAAATGCAGACATGAAATATTTTCACTGTTTATTACAATATTGGAGCCGCTAATAAAAAGAAATAATATAATATATATATATATATATATATATATATATATATATATATATATATATATATATATATATATATATATATATATATATATATATATTATAATATATATTATATATATATATATATATATATATATATATATATATATATATATATATATATATATATATATATATATATATATATATATATATATATATATATATATATATATATATATATGTCTTATTATATATTATATATATATATATATATATATATATATATATATATATATATATTATATATATATATATATATATATATATATATATATATATATATATATATATATATATATATATATATATATATATATATTATATATTACATATATATATATATATATATATATATATATATATATATTCTAATATTCTAAGCCAAATGAGTAAGTATCAATTGTAACAAGACAGACTGTATGGTTGTTAACCAGACGGACATCCTGAGAGGCAAGCTAAGAATTAGAGAGTAATGTTCGTCCATATCGTGAAGGGACACGACACATAAAAGTAGAAGAATAACCCGAGTTGTCTCGGGACCAAAGGTCAGATGTTGTACACTCAGGTAGGATTAGATTAAACGCTTCTCTTTAATGTGAAAAATAGTCTATGAGACTATTTAGCTAAATACAAGTATATTAAGTGTGTTCATCAGTATATTTTCAACATTAGAAAGAAAGAATTAAAAAAAATATGGGCACTGGTAAATTTAGGATTACGCAGTTACTTCCCCTTGGATTTTTAAACCAACAAAAAATCATAACTAAAATATTATTTACCGGGAATAATTTTCCGTGCGGATGCTAATAAAAGTGCCATTGCTAAATCAGCTGTTGCATTAGCCACGACAGGTTTAGTGTTTCCAATTCGAATGTTTGAATTTTTAGCCCACTTTAAGTCAATGTGATCAATTCCGACGCCATGGTTGGAGATAATTTTTAAATTGGGTAACGAACGCAGCAGTCGGCGATTTTCTTCTTCTCCCCCGGGTGTAATAGCTCCAAAAATTTCAGTTGCTAGTCCTGGGTTTGCTGCAAGGTCGGATGGGAAAACGACTTTGAAAGAGCGCTCAAGTCTCTCGAGACATTTGTGTCTAAAGCTCGGATGCTCTTCATGGTGAATATAATACTCCAGCAGCAACAAAACATGAGGCTTTTTCTGGGACGCCATTTCGTTGATCACGTGGTTTTGACTACCCTTCCTTGCTTCCCGCCTTCTTTCCTCTTACTTTCTTTCTTTGCTTATCTCTTCTTGTTTTCCCACTTCTAGATATCACAAAATTTTATTTATCTTTTTTCCTTTTATCTTATTTTTTTTTTCTTTCTGAAACACATTTCTTCCTTTGTACAATTGCTATTGAATTAATGATTATTTGTCAATCAGGTAGATAAACTCTTTCTAGTAAATGTAAGTGTTTTAGTAGACTGTAATAGTCATACATTTTCAACACTTGGTATTTATTCTGTCTCCCCACTAAGACGAGTTGTGACACAAGGTCTTTTTTTTTAAGTGGGGACCTGAGCGCGTACACCCGGGCTAAGGACAAAAATTGCCTGCAGCCCACGCAACAGTCGGTTGCGCTGGCCTCGATGCGAGCACCAATCCCTCTTTCTGGTCCAATGAGAGGGCGCGGTCTCGGGCAGCTGTTCCCTAGGGCTGGGCACCTCTCTATAATTTGAGACTCTTGACGGAGCCGCCCCTGAGCGCACTCTGTCCAGAGACAGAGACGCAACTGAGAGATGATAAATAGATGTGTTATAAACTACTCGAGGGAGCAGTTTACACACGTTTTTTTTTAATTTTCTAAGCGTAGCTTAGATGCAGCACAAGGCCGAAAGTATGGAGCTCCTAGTGAGGATCGAACTCACTTTTCAGTCGGAACTGATCTAGCGAGACAAGCTTGCTAACCATTATACCACGCCGAGATGCCCATCATTTTCAACACTATGTCAGGACACGAAACATCAGCAGTGGCACACGCGCCTTGCAACTAAATCAAGTCATTCGAGTTCATGACTTTCTCCTTCTGATATCACAACATTCTATCTGCCTCTCTCTTTTTTCCTTTTATGAAATTATTTTAGCAGTCTTCCGTTGTGAGTTATCTCTTGAACTAAGTATTATTTTCCTATCAAGTACAACAATTCCGTCTCGTACTGTTTTAGAAAACTATAATAATAACACCCTTCATCACACCCGCAGATTCGAGAAACAGATTTTCGCGAGCCAGTGTAAAATCATTTTCTAATCAATGAAAATCTTGTATTCAAAAACTTCACACCTCTATGTGAAACTAGATTGTGAATCCCCTTACGGATATAAAAAAAAACAGAAGCATACTTTTCTCGGTTCTTACAACAATTTCGGTGGCCAGTTTGATTTACACGTGCGTGAGTACACGCACACACACAATAGAAGAGATAGCCAGCAGCTGCCGACTAAGGCCTTGTCCACACACACAATAGAAGGGATTAACCAGCAACAGCTTTCTAAATCTGTGAACTCACAAACACATTCGGATGACTGCCATAAAGTAAGTCTGTCCACACATCTCACTTCGCTCTAAGAACATTTAATTACTTGATAAAGCAAACTTCACTGCAAGGAATACTGAACATTTTATTGCTATTGTATATTTCTAAAAAGAATATATAAATGTTATTTTTCCTCTAGGAAATAACTTCTTATATATTTCATTTAAAATATGTGTTCTTGTTGTTAAATGTTTGGAATCCCGACTCTCAGATAGCAACCAAAGCCTGGGTAGACAGATCCCAACACTGTAAAGATTTTATTAGACAGTAGCAGTAATATATGGGATTCGAGACACCAGTAGCGGCTCACACCCAACCACCAAACCTGGTCACGTGAATTTGCCTAAACTCCAGTTGGAGGCATGTCAGGTAACAGGTACATATAAATTAAGAAAAACATTCCAGTTCTAACATTTCGTACATATATGCTTTGAATTACTAATATTTTCACTCAATACAAGGCACAAGAGGCACTCAATGTAGAGGGCTAATAAATAAGGCATGTGATGTAAACGTGGAAATTATGAGGATTTGAAGAATTGATAATGACTGACTCTAGAGTTGAAGAGGTCAAGACTCTAGCATTCGGGAAAGCATCCATGTGGGAGCCTGTTCCGTAAGGTAGCAATTGTTGAGAAGAACTGCCTACTGTGAAATTCCTTCTTACAAACAGAATACAGAGGTCATGAGGAGGATTTAAACCTTTGTATGGAGCAAGGCAAGTTATAGCTGTAAAGGTCAGAACGGGTGGCATGAAAAAAATGGAGCTTGCCTGAACATCTACCATGGAATTGTGGTAGGCTAGCCACATCACGTTTGTGAGAAAGAGATTTCAAGGTGGAAAATAATGCATCTTTCACAAGGTCATGTAAAACGACCTTGAACTCTGTCAAGGCTGAAAAGAGAGGATTGTGCAGTTCCAGACTATATATGGCAGGAACATTCTATTCTGCTCTAATCTAAATTTTTGTAAAGATAAAGGCATGGCAGAAGAAGTAGTTTTTATTTCCAGTAGCAATAGAACTATTTTGTCCAAGATCTTTATCATTGAATTGTATATACGAGTTCCACTTGATGTCTGGAGTGAGACACAATAGACGTCAAGACAAGAAAGAGAGGATTGTGCAATTCCAGCCTAGATAAGGTAGCAAATCTCTATTCTGCTCTAATCTGACTTTTGTAAAGATAAGGGATAGCAAAAGAATCACTGAATGTCTGGAGTGAGACCCAATAGACGTTAGGACAGGAAAGAGAGGATTGTGCAGCTCCTGCCAAGATATGGCAGCCATTCTTCATTTTTGGTCAAATCTGACTCTTGTAAAGCTAAAGAGTCAAGTTCTTTCTGGACCAGTACAATAAACCAGCCCATTTCCCCAGTTTCCTTTTCCATGGATCGCATATAAGGTTGTTTCATTTAGATGGATTATATATCTTGTTGTTTTATTAAGGTGGATCAAAGTCAACAGTAAATAAATCAGTGTTATTGGTGAATTTTTTTTTTATTTCTCTATTGGATCATGTTATTTAAGTCATGGCAATTATGTGTTCAACTTGAAGTCTTAGTGTGAACTTGAGTCCCAGTCAATGTTCACCACAAGGCACCTCGTTGAGAGTTCAAATGTGCAGTGTACTTGGAGTAATTTCAGGTTCTTCTTGGTGATGATGAAACATTACTAACTTTCTTTTTGTGATCTTCAGTATTATGAGCCAGTTTTTTCCCACCAATAAACTGTTGAAGTCATGCCAGAAGAGAGATCAGCTACGAGGCACCAATCATCTTGATTTTTGGAGCTGCTCCCATAAACTGTGCTATCATCTGTAGAGATATTTACTAGTAATCTGAGAATTGGCAGACTGTTAATAAAATGCAGAAAAGTTAGAACTGACGAGAGAGACTTGGGGGTTAACAACATTGATCTGATATCTTCTAGGCTTACAGCCACTTCTGGTTGAAAGGCAGGACCCTCGTAAGCAACATTAAGCCTGGTCAGTACCTAGATGGGTGACTGCTAGGGAATATCAGGAGCTGCAAGCTTGGATTTGTGGATGCTGTAATGGATAATGGCTCGGAATTGTTAATCAGAGAGCCAAGTTCCAATTCTTGTTAGGTTTGTTATATTCACTTATGCACATGGGAAAAATATGAATCTATATTCTCCCCCCCAGCTATGGGCTAAATATTAAGACTTGTATTGCTAAAACATAATTATCTCTCCAGAAAAATTTCTTACAATCTATATGTCCTGAATGTCCAGATCTGATAAAAGAAATCTATCGGTCCGACTGCACTGAAATGTCTAGATCTGAAAAAAGAATTATATCAGTCTGACTCAACAGAATGTCCAGATCGGAGAGAAGAACTATATTGCTCTGACCCCACTGAATGTCTAGATCTGATAGAAGAACTATATTAGTCTGAGTCCAGTGAATATCTAGATGTCATAGAAGAGATATATTTGTTTGTCTTCATTGAATATCCAGAGCTAATAGAAAAAATATATTGATCTGACCGCACTGAATAACTAGATCTGACAGAAGAATTATATCAGCCCGACATCACTTAGTATCCAGATGTGATATAAGAACTATATCAGTCTGACTGCACTGAATATCTAGATCAGACAGAAAAAAAAACTATATTAGTCTGAGTGCAAAGAATATCCAGATCTGATAGAACTATATCAGTCTGATGACATCAGGTTTGAAAGAAGAACTATATTAGTCTTACTCCAGTGAATATCCAGACCTGATACAATTGCTATATTTGTTTGATTCTACTAAATGTCCAAATCTGACTGAAGAACTATATCTATTTGACTTCACTGAATAGTCAAATCTGATAGCAAGACTATATTAATCTGTCTCAACTGGATGTCCAGATCTGATAGAACTATATTAGTCTGACTCAACTAAATGTCCAGATTTGATATAGTAACTCTAATGGTCTGACTCAACTAAATGTCCAGATTTGATATAGTAACTCTAATGGTCTGACTCAACTAAATGTCCAGATTTGATATAGTAACTCTAATGGTCTGACTCAACGAAATATCCAGATTTGATATAGTAACTCTAATGGTCTGACTCAACGAAATATCCAGATTTGATATAAGAACTATATCAGTCTGACTGCACTGAATATCTAGATCAGATAGAAAAACTATATTGGTCTGACTGCAAAGAATTTCTAGATCTGATAGAAGAACTATGTCAGTCTGACACAACTAAATATCCAGATCTAATATAAGAATTATATTGGTCTAGCACAACTGAATGTCTAGATCTGATAGAAAAAATATATTGATCTGACTCAACTCAAAGTCTAGATCAGATATAAGAACTATTTTGTTCTGACTTCACTAAATGTACATATCTGATAAGAATAATTATATTGGTTCGACTTCACTGAACGTCAAGATTTGATAAAAGAATTATATCAGTCTAACATTACTGAATGTTTAGATCTGATAGAAGCACTATATTGGTCTGACATCACAATGTCCAGATCTGATACCATAACTATATTTGTTTGACTCAAATAAATATTCAAATCTGATTCAAGAAATATATTGGTCTGACTTAAATGAAAGTCCAAATCTGATAGAAAAACTATATTGTTCTGACATCACTGAATGT